AACCATCATACAGAACTACCAAACTGAATTGGTAGTCTGAAACACATGGGACAAGAAACAAAGGCAATGCAGAAGAACCGGAAAATGAGCGATAAAATGGCACTATTAAGCCCTCATAGGGCCGGCCCCGTGGCTTAGCAGTTAAGTGCGCGCGCTCCGCTGCTGGCGGCCCAGGTTCGGATCCCGGGCGCACACCGACGCACCGCTTCTCCGGCCATGCTGAGGCCGCGTCCCACATACAGCAACTAGAAGGATGTGCAGCTATGACATACAACTATCTACTGGGGCTTTGGGGGAAAAAAATAAAATAAATAAAATTTAAACAAACAAAAAAAGCCCTCATATATCAATAATCACTCTAAAAATGTAAATGGATTGAATTCTTCAATCAAAAGACACAGAGTGGTGGGATGGATTAAAAAACAAGACCCAACAATATGCTGCCTCCAGGACACACACCTCAGCTCTAAAGACAAACACAGGCTCAGAGTGAAAGGATGGAAGACAATACTCCAAGCTAATGGCAAACAAAAGAAATCAAGTGTTGCCATACTTATATCAGACAAAGTAGACTTCAAGATAACACAGGTAATAAGAGACAAAAAGGGACAATATATAATGATAAAAGGGACACTCCACCAAGAAGATATGTCACTTATAAATACATATACACCCAACACAGGAGCACCAAAGTACATAAAGCAACTACTAACAAAGCTAAAAGGAGATATTAACAACAACACAATAATAGTAGGGGATCTTAACACCTCACTTACATTGATGGATAGATCATCCAGACAGAAAGTCAATAAGGAAACAGTGGACTTAAACGAAAAACTAGACGAAATGGACTTAATAGATACATAGAGAGCACTCCATCCAAACATAGATTACACATTCTTCTCAAGCGCGCATGGAACATTCTCAAGGAGAGACCATACGATGGAAACAACGCAAACCTCTACAAATTTAAGAAGACTGAAATCATAACAAGCATCTTTTCCAACCATAATGCTATGAAACTAGAAATCAACTACAAGAAAAAAACTGGGAAAGTGACAAAGATGTGGAAACTAAACAACATGCTACTCAATAACCAATGGATCACTGATGAAATTAAAGGAGAAATAAAAAAATATCTGGACACAAATGAAAATGAAAATACACCATACCAACTCATATGGGATGCAGCAAAAGCAGTCCTGAGAGGCAAACTCATAGCAATACAGGCCCACCTTAACAAACAAGAAAAATCCCAAATAAGCAATCTTAAACTGCACCTAACAGAATTAGAAAAAGAAGAACAAAGCCCAAAGTCAGCAGAAGGAGGGAAATAATAAAACTTAGAGCAGAAATAAATGAAATTGAAACCAAAGAAAACAGTAGAAAGGATCAATGTAACAAAGAGCTCGTTCTTTGAGAAGATAAACAAAATTGACAAACCCTTAGCAAAACTCACTAAGAAAAAAAGAGAGAAGGCTCAAATAGATAAAATTAGAAATGAAAGAGGAGAAATTACAATGGTTACCACAGAAATACAAAGGATTATAAGAGAATACTATGAAAAACTATATGCCAACAAACTGGACAATCTAGGAGAAATGGATAAATTCTTAGACTCATATAACCTCCCAAAACTGAATCAAGAAGAAATAGAGAATCTGAGTAGACCAATCACAAGTAAAGAGATTGAAACAGTAATCAAAAACCTCCCCAAAAATAAAAATCCAGGATAAAACAGCTTCTCTGGAAGAATTCTACCAAACATTTCAAAGAAGATTTAATACCTATCTTTCTCAAACTATTCCAAAAAGTTGAAGAAGACAGAACACTTCCTAACTCATTCTATGAGGCCAACATTACCCTGAGATCAAAACCAGACAAAGACAACACAAAGAAGGAAAATTACGGGCCAATACCACTGATGAACATAGAGGCAACAATCCTCAATAAAATATTGGTAAACTGAATACAGAAATACATTAAAAGGATCATCCCACCATGATCAAGGGGGATTTATACAAGGGACGCAGGCATGGTTCAATATCTGCAAATTAATCAATGTGATACACCACATTAACAAAATGAGGAATACAAACCAAACGATCATCTCAATAGATGCAGAGAAAGCATTTGACAAGATCAAACATCCATTTATAAAAACCCTCAACAATCGGGCTGGCCTCGTGGCTTAGCGGTTAAGTGCGCGCGCTCCACTACTGACGGCCCGGGTTCGGGTCCCAGTTGTGCACTGACGCGCTGCTTCTCCGGCCATGCTGAGGCCGCGTCCCACATACAGCAACTAGAAGGATGTGCCACTATGACATACAACTATCTACTGGGGCTTTGGGGGGAAAAAACAAAGGAGGAGGATTGGCAATAGATCTTAGCTCAGAGCTGGTCTTCCTCAACAAAAAGAGGAGGATTAGCACGGATGTTAGCTCAGGGCTGATCTTCCTCACAAAAAAAAAAAAAAAGCAGTGACGCCAAGAATCAGCTCTATTGCCCTAAACTATATCCACTAAATGATCTTTGAAAAAAAAAAAAAAAAAAAAAAAGAAAAAAAAAAAAAAAAAACCCTCAACAAAATGGGTATACAAGGAAAGTACCTCAACATAATAAAGGCCATATATGACAAACCCACAGCCAAAGTCATACTCAACGGCGAAAAACTGAAAGCCATCCCTCTAAGAACAGGAACAAGACAAGGGTGCCCACTCTCGCCACTTTTATTCAATGTAGTACTGGTGGTTTTGGCCAGAGCAATTAGGCAAGAAAAAGGAATAAAAAGAATCCAAATGGGCAACAAGGAAGTGAAACTCCCACTGTTTGCAGACGACATGATTTTATATGTAGAAAACCCTCAAGAATCCATAGGAAAACTAGAAGAAATAATCAACAACTACAGCAAAGTTGCAGGGTACAAAATCAACTTTCAATAATCAGTTGCATTTCTGTACTCTAATAACGAACTAAAAGAAAGAGAACTCAAGAATACAATCCCATTTATAATTGCAACAAAAAGAATAAAATATCTAGGAATAAATTTAACCAAGGAGGTGCGAGACTTATATAATGAAAACTATAAGACATTATTGAAAGAAATCGATTATGACATAAAGAAATGGAAAGATATCCCATGCACATGGATTGGAAGAATAAACATAGTTAAAATATCCATACTACCTAAACCAATCTACAGATTCAATGCAATCCCAATCAGAATCCCAAGGACATTCTTCACGGAAATAGAACAAAGAATATTGAAATTCATATGGGGCAATAAAAGACCCCGAATAGCTAAAGCAATCTGAGAAAAAAGAACAAAGCTGGAGGCATCACAACCCCTGACTTAAAAATATACTACAAAGCTATAATAATTAAAACAACATGGTACTTGTGAAATAACAGACACACAGATCAATGGAACAGAATTGAAAGCCCAGAAATAAAACCACACATCTACGGACAGCTCATCTTTGACAAAGGAGCTAAGAACATACAATGGAGAAAGGAAAGTCTCTTCAGTAAATGGTGCTGGGAATACTGGACAGCCACATGCAAAAGAATGAAAGTAGACCATTTTCTTCCGCCATACACAACAATTAACTCAAAATGGATCAAAGACTTGAAGGTAAGACCTGAAACTATAAAACTCCTAGAAGAAAATACAGGCAGTACACTCTTTGACATCAGTCATAGAGGGATCTTTTTGAATTCCATGTCTACTTGGACAAGGGAAACAAAAGAAAAAATAAACAAGTGAGACTTCATCAGACTAAAGAGCTTCTGCAAGGCAAAAGAAATAAGGATCAAAATGAAAAGACAACCCACCAGCTGGGAGAAAATATTTGCAAATCAAATATCCAACAAGGGGTTAATCTCCATAATATACAAAGAACTCACACAACTAAACAACCAAAAAACAAACAACCCGATCAAAAAATGGGCAGAGACTATGAACAGACAGTTTTCAAAGGAAGACGTTCAACATCACTAATTATCAGGGAAATGCAAATCAAAACTACACTAAGATATTATCTTACACCCGTTAGAATGGCTATAATCACCAAGACAAAAAATAACAAACCCTGGAGAGATCGTGGAGAAAAGGGAACCCTCATTCACTGCTGGTAGGAATGTAAACTGGTGCAGCCTCTATGGAAAACAGTATGGACATTCCTCAAAAAATTAAAAATAGAAATACCTTATGATCCAGCTATCCCACTACTGGGTATCTACCCAACGAACCTGAAATCAACAATCCAAAGAGGCTTCTGCACCCCTATGTTCACTGCAGCATTATTCACTATAGCCAAGAAGT